GAGCATCTCTAGGGCTCAGGGAACCCGTTTGTGGCGTCGGATGGGATGGGGAGGCGCCGTGGAGGTCCGGCGACGAGAGGCGGCCTCCGGGAGCGGGTGGCAATGGCGGCGAGGCCGTGCCGGGCGGTGACGGCGCGCAATGGTGGGGCGGCACATTTAGGGGGACGAGCGAGCAACCAAACGGCTCGGGGCTTATCCAAGATGATGCAAATGGCAAGAATTTGGGCGAGGAGCTCACCGGCGTGAGGAAACGGTATCGGCGGCGATTTGAGGATGGAAAGGGGTGGAAGGCCGATGGCGGCACGCGACCGAGCGGCGGCGCACGGCGGATGACGCCGAGGCGGCGCGGCGTCGGGGCGAGTGCGTCGGGGAAGATGAGAGGGAGTGCGAAGATGGGGCGGACCGGAGCTCCTCTTTGGCTCCTCGCGCTCGCCGGCTCCCACGGCACGCGCGACAACGACAATGGCAGTCAAGGCGGCAATGGTGTGGTGGGGAGAGGAGGCGAGACAACGGGGGAGATGGGAGGGCTCGGATTTTTATAGTGGAGCGAGGTCGGTTTGGGAGGCATGGGCGAGCTGGTTGGCGCTCGGCTGGCGAGCGGCAAAGGCAGTTCGTGGGCGGTGCGAACATGGCGATGGCGTGGATGCAAGGGCGCGGTGAAGGCGGTGGATCGGATGGCGAGAATCAAATTGCGGGAGCGGGAGGATTAGCGCGGGCTGGCGCAGTCAAGGTGGGGGCGGCGAGCTGGCGCTGGCGTCTGCGTCTCTGCCTCCGAGCGCTAGCGGCCAAGGAGTGGAGGTAGGGCGTTGTGCTTGGGAGGGAAAAAGAGAAGGGAGGACGGTGGAAAGGGGGGCTTTACCTTGCTGGTTTGGGAGAAGGAGGTGGGAGAGGGAGTGCTCTGCCTCCGGGATTTGGACGGACGCAGGTGGAGCAGCTTGGGCACGCGCTGCAGAGCTCGCGGCAGGCAGCGGGGCCGAGCGGCAGCACGGCGCAGGCGCTGATGGCGGTGGCGACCGGGCGGTCGGCCACGACCGGCGCGTGCGCGGGAACCAAAGGCGGTGGCGGGTTCAAAAGGCGGCGGCGGGAATCGGCCCCGGGGAGAGAGGAAACAGAGAGGGCGAGAGAGAGAGAGGGCGGCGCTCTCTCTTGGCTTTGGCACGACGCGCGTGCTCAGCACGTGCGAAGGGGAGGGGAAACGGGCTGAGAGGAGGGATGGGCCAAGGGAAAGGAATTTGGCCCAAAAAACAAAGGGAGGTAAAAATAGACTTTTATAGGGAATTTGAGTTGGAGGGATTTGGGACATGGGTTTAAATTTCAAATTTGAGATTTGATCTCGAGGGTTTAGGGAGGAATCAAGGGAGACTCAAGGAAAGGATTCGAGATGGGAATTTGATATTTTCGGAAATAGGGACAGGTATTTTGCGGGGATTCAAAGGATGCGATTGAATTTTGGAGTTTGATTTCAGAGACTTGAGTTGGAATTGGAATCTTGAGGTGGACGATTTTGATGGCGATGAGAGGGAACAATGAGAGATTGAATTGAGATCCATGGCACAACTTAGACTCGCATACAAAGAACGAAATTTTCGCATATAGGATTTTGCCGAATTAGTTTTTAACGTCTCACGAAAAGCGGAGCGTTACATACCCTATCCCATCAGCCATGATGATGAGAGGTCTTAGCCTCTCATCACAGCCGGAGACGGCTTGCCTAACCCGGTCAGGGTAGGGTTCCTGTTTCCCAGCGCAAGTGAGGACCGAAAAGTCTTCATTCATTAAATGTCGAATGACAGGCGTGCCCCTTGTGTCAGCCGGATAAGATCCGGTGGACCCCACATCGCAGCAAGGCGTGCAAGAGACTTCCAAGACAAGCAACAAGACATCCATTTAATGTGATTATCCTCCCTGAATAGGGGGGCCCATGTGGTAACCCCTTGAGATATAAAAGGAGGTCCAGGCCTACTTAAGGAGGGGGGAGATCTACCGATCGAGGGATCGAGGATGAGCCATTTTAGACTCTGGAGCAGCTTCCACCCCTCATGATCGACACCTTCTACACCAACAAGGAGATCTTGTAATTTCTCACAAGATCAGCTAAGCACAGGAGTAGAGTATTACGCTTCTCAGCGGCCTGAAGCTGTATAAATTCCTTTCGTCTCATCGTCTTTGAGAGGCCTGACCCCCTCAAGATCACACAACTTCGCTTACCAAGCCCTCGAATCTCACCCGCTGCCCCCAGCCGAACCAAAAAAAGGGGGGGTCTCACGGTTCCCTGGTGGAGGATTTCACCCTCCGACACACCGTCTCCTGCCCCGAGGAAGGTGGAAGCCACAAACATGTTAGAGACGCTCCGCTCCAGGGAGGGACCTTGAGATCAGCCCAGTAAGTGTGGCCAATGCGCTGAAGCCAAAGCCAGGGTAGATGTAGCGCGAAGCCTATCGTGCTCAAGTCCACTATGCCTAGGCCACAAACGGATTTTAGGCGACAGACGTTTGTCCAAGATACGAGGCATCGTCCCCCCTGAACTGAGTCTGTACCTATCCACAAGAAGGCACGACGTTTCTTATCAATGGCCTTGATGACCCAGTTGTCAACCCAATCACCATGGACACATGGACCGGAATAGAAGAGAGTACGGACTGGACAAGCACAGAACGACCAACTAAAGTGGTGAGACGGCCTTTCCAGGGAGGGAGACGATGGGAGACCCTATCAGAGATTGTAGGACTACTTTCAGGAGCTTGCGGACCGACAACAGGATGCCAAGATAGATGCAAGGGAACTCAGAGATAGAAGAGGGGAAGGTGCTCTGAACCAACTCCAAGTCCTCTGCTGTGCAGCGGATCGAAGTAATCGAGCATTTGGAAAAGTTGGTGCGTAACTCGAAGGCCGAACAAAAGATGGAGAGAATGTCATGGATGAACTCCAAATCCTATCTCACAGGGGAGAGGAAGAGGACCAGATCATCGGTGTAGAAAGAAGCACGATGTCGCAAGCGCGCGGTCATTGAGAGGGAGAAAACCACCCGTGTCAGATTGAGCACATCCAAGACTAGGAGGAAGAGCATGAGAGAAAGGGGATCGCCCTACCGAAGCCCCTCCGATGGAGGAAGCGGGGATTGGGAACCCTATTGACCAGCACCCTGAAGAAGGAGCAATGGAGGATCAGGGAAATCCAATCACACCATCGATGGATGAAACCAAGGTGACCAAGCACTTCAAGCAGGAACGTCCAGCTGACCATGTCAAAGGCCTTCGCAATGTCCACTTTAAGGACCAGATGAAGCTTGGCCCGGGAATGGAGAGCCCTAGCCGCAAGCTGGACATAGCGGAAGTTATCATGGAGAGAACGAGAGGCTTATCAGGCAGAAGTCCTTGACCTCCATAGCCTCATCCTTCTTCTGCAAGAGGGAGATGAGGGCATCATTGAGAGAGGCGAAACCCTGGCCGTTTGTCAGAGGGAGAGCGTTGAGGACAACCAGGATTTCTGACTTGATCACCGGCCAGGACTACTTGATAAACAACATCAAAGAACTCAGGACGATACACACATCATCGCAGACAAAAAATTTCATTAGATTTGTCAGCTTCATACAAACTACTACTACTACCTTCATCCCCAAATAATAATCTTTCTAAGTTATTTAGCAAAATTTAAAGTTTAGTAAAAAATAACCATAGTACCCACATTAAATGTTATAATGTTGAGGCGACGCTAATGGGCGATCGATCGCTTCCCCATCCCCCTATACGCTCCTCTCCCCCTTCCTCCTCCCCTTCTTCTCTTCCTACTGCACCATAAATTTAAAAAAAATAAAAAAACAAAATTGGAAAAAATCATGTATAGAAATACTATATATATAAAATATTTGAATTTAAATTCAAATTTGAAATGGGTAAGTAAACTTTTGACTTATAAACTTTGGGTCTATAAGCTAATGTTTGAATTCAAATTCAAATTTGAATCGGCTAAGTAAACTTTAGACTTATAAACTTTGGGTATATAAACTTTAGGTGTATAGAAATACTATATATAAAAAATATTTGAATTCAAATTCAAATTATATATTTGAATTCAAATTCAAATTTGAATCGGGTATATAAACTTTTGACTTATAAAATTTGGGTCTATAAACTTTAGGTGTATAAACTTTAGATGTATAAAAATTCTATATATAAAAAATATTTGAATTCAAATTTAAATTTGAATCGGGTATATAAACTTTTGACTTATAAACTTTGGGTATCCAATATTTAGGTGTATAAACTTTAGATGTGTAAACTTGAGATGTGCAAACTTTATGTGTATAAATTTACTAAAATAGGAAAGCAATGTGGTGCCAAAAAAGGAAGCCAGCCACGTGGAGAGGGGTGATCGCCCAGGGCAATCGATCGCCCAACAGGATTTTCGATAATGTTGGGAGTAGGAGGATAGTTGAGGGTAGGATATATAGGAAAAAAAATTTCTAAATTGGAGGTGATTGATGAGACAAAAAAAAATTAAAACCAAATTATAAACCCAAAGAACGTTGTGCACTTATCAAAACCAGAAGAGGTGGCCCCCATCCACCTTTTTTAGCCAAATGAGGCCTAAAAATTAAGATGCAATTATACAGTCGCAAACATTGGCAAAGCAAGAATCGAGTATATAAAAGACTGAGCTAGGATTTTTTTTTTTTTGGTTGCAAGTGCAACACCGGACAGAAAGGAAACGATGAACAGGGTTAAGCAAACCAAGAGATAACTTCGTCTGAAATTCACTGCAATGACAAAGTGGTTGAAATGAGTTAGACTAAAATGTGCACTCGAGAAAGTTCCAGCCTCAAATGTTCCACTGACATCTGGGCCCCACACCCAACCAACCAGTATAAAGTTCAAGTATCAGCCTCGCCATCTTCGTCCCCACCGCGCGATCGCCTCGCCTCCATCCCCCAACGGCCATAAACCCAAACACGACGCCGCGTCGCCGCCGAGCCGAGCAAGAGCAGCGGCGCGAGCACCATGAATCCGCCGCCGCAGCAGCCGGAGCACCGCGGCAACTCGCTGACGGATCTGAACGACGACCTGCTCTCCGAAATCTTCTTCCACATCCCGCCGGGCGACCCCGGGGTCCTCGTCCGCCTCTCCGTCGTCTGCAAGTCGTGGCGCCGCCTCATCACCGACCGCGACTTCCTCCGCGGCTACCGCGCCATCCGCCAAGCGCCTCCGATCCTGGGCTTCTTCTGCGTGGAGTTTGGGAGCGCCATATTGGTCCCCACCACCGCCTTCAGCTCGATCATTCCCAGCGTCAGGGGCAACTAGCTACCGTGCGGCTCCCGCCATGGCCGCGCCCTCTTCGACGCCTTCGGGTTACCCATGCAGCTCCTCGTGTCGGACCCCATGACCGGCGCGGATCGGCTGCTGGACTTGCCGGAGCGCTGGAGGAACATCCACTGGAGCGAGCAGCAGCACTGGATGTGGATGAACATCCGGTGGAGCGCGGCGGTGCTCTGCGCCGTGGACGGCTGCGACCATCTCGACTGCCACGGCGGCGACCCCTTCCGCGTGGCGCTGGTGGGCACCGACGCCGCGGGAACCACGTACGCCGCCCTCTACTCGTCGGAGACCGAGGCATGGAGCGGCCCGGCCTCCATTGATCACCACCCGAACGCCATCGTCAAGGCGAGAAGGCCAAGCGTCCTCGTGGGGAACGCGCTCTACTTCCTCTGCAACAACAACACCAGCATCGTCGAGTTCGACATGGCCACGATGACGCTGTCGGTGATCCCCTCGCCGCTGCTACCGGAGGATGTGCACGGCGCTCTCCTCATGACAGCGGAGGGTGGAGGGCTCGGGTTCGCCGCCGTGCTGGAGCGATCCAACCTCCACCTGTGGTCGAAGCCGATGGATGAATGGGAGCACCTCCAAGATGTCAGGGACCTCAAGACGCTGCTCCCCCGGGGTTCAATCTCCATGATGAACAATTTGTTGATCGGCTTCGCCGACGGCGGCGTTCGTGTGGTTGTCGTCAGGACGTACCATGGCCCCTACGTCGTTGAGCTGGGATCAACTGAACCAGCCAGGGTGGTGTCAAGGAGAATTGGAATCAACGTTGTATTTCCCTACACGAGCTTCTGCACTCCAGGTACGAGCTCTGCGTTCTTCCTTTTTTCAGAGATTGTTCTGTGCATTTGTTGGTTCTGAACTGATTTGTTTGCGATTGCTTGAGCCTGAACAGCTTCTGTGCTTGCTTGATTAGTTGCGGTTTGCTGATAATTAGTCAAATCCAAATCGTTTATAGACATTTCTAACTAGGAGATAGTTGATACGGCCAATTACTCTGTTTACCACTTTTCTGGCTGATCTGAAGCAAAAGCCCCACATCTAATCTTGTAAATACTCAGAATTTTCCTCCTAATTGGTGTGCATGCTGGGGACGTATAGCATGTTTACAGGTTTCATTCTGTATCGTTCCAGATCATTCTTAGATGCAGATTACCGCCTCGTGTTCATATCTGCTCTTTTGTTTTTCAGAGAATGCTCTATTGTTCTGTGCATTTGTCGGTTCTGACCTGACTGGCAAATTAATACTGCTTAAAACTCCTGCATATTAGACCTGAATAACAGCTTCTGTGCTTGATTGTTGGTTCCTGTTTGCTGTTAAGTAGTCATATCCAAATGTGCATTGAGTTAGCAATAACTAATTTCTGCTTGTTGCATCTTACCATCGCAGCCGCTGCCACGACGACAGAATGATCCATCCGCTTACATGAAACTGCTGATGCTGGCTTCCTGCAGAGCTGATGCTTGAAGTGCTTTCTTCTGATAGGCAATTTTAGCAAGAAAAGAGTTCACTAATGGTGATCGATTTACTCAGTTTTGTCTCCCATTTTGCAGTCTGATTGAGAAAAGAGTTTTGTCAATTTTAGCAACCAGAAGAATTCACAAATGGTAATCTTGGTCATGTTAGTAAGTTTTGTCTCCTGGTGAATACTTTTAAGAAAAGAGTGAGACTTCTCATCAGTTAACTAGCATGTCTCTTCTGGTTCTGGATGATAGTGATCGAAGTTTCAGAAACTTCTCCATGGATGAGACAGTTCAGTCAAGGTTTTTTTTGGCTGAGTTACCGAGTACATGCATATAGTAACAGAATTTGAACTGTGGTAATTACAGATACAAGAGAATTGCACTCACTGACTCACAACAGAAAAGGAAATTCACACTATTCCTGATATGGATCGTGTTTTGAGAACCGATTGGTCTTTGCGAAAGGTGTTTGCTAAGAATAAATAACTAAATAGGTCATTGATTCAAGAATGTTCATCTATTCAAATTTCCCAATAGGTGATACAAGTAGCTACTGAGTTACTGAGTTACAAATTCAGATGTTTACAAATTCAGATGTTTACAATTGATGACAACTAGTACTATAACACATTGAACAGCGAGAATAGATCAGAAGCAGGGGACGATGCGTGAAGAAGCCTTGACGACGCCATCAACCCCGACCACCTTGCTCTGCTTCGCGTGCTCTTCATCGCTCGCGCGCTTCAGCTTCTTCCTGGCCACCTCCTCCTCGTCGGCGGCGAACATCTCCAGCAGCCGCTGCGCCTGCTCCATGGCGGTGCCCAGCCCGGGAATCTTCAGCTGCTCGGTGGCCTCCAGCGCGGCCACCATCTCCCGCACCTCCTGCCTCGACCGCGCCGCCAGGTACCTCGTCACGGACGCGAGTGGCCGCCCCGACACCACGAGCGACGCGGCGTGGACGGCGTCCTCCATGCCGACGGGCTCGCGCTCGCCGCCGCCGCCGCCACCGCGGCGCCTGATGCTTGGGCGGGCGGCGAGGCCGACGCGGAGCTCGCGGCCGCGGAGGAGGTGGCCGTGGAGGTTGCGGAGGGCGCTGCGGGCCGTCTCGTCGTCGGCGTACTCGACGAAGGCGTAGCCCTTGCGCTTGTTGGTGGCCGGGTCGAGGGCGGCGAGGCGGAGGGAGCGGACGGGGCCGATGAGCTCGCAGGCGTCGCGGAGCTCGGCCTCGGTGGCGTGGAAGGCGATGTTGCCGACGTAGACGACGCGGCTGCAGCGGCAGTTCACGTCGGCCATGGCGGCGGCTGAGGCTGAGACGTCCATTGCTCTGAGTTGGAGTGGAGAGCGCTGCGACGGGATGAGATGAGGCAGCGAGAGACATGCATGGTCTCGTCTGGATTTATAGCCGGCGACAAAGCTTTACTCTGTATGCCTTGATCGAGTCGGACTCGGAGTCCGAGTCGGACTAGCATGATATCGTCTCCACGCGGTCGCATATGGAAAAAGTACACGCAAGGTCCCTCAACTTGTTAGCCAGATACAAAATCGTCCCTCAACCGTAAAACCGGACGTCCAGCGTCCCCCAACTTACAAAACTGGTCACAATAAGTCCCTCGGCGGTTTTAACCCCGATTTTGTCCCACGTGGCGGCTGACTCAGCATGGGACCCATGTGGGCCCCACATGTCAGAATGACATGTCATCTTCTCTGTTTCCCCTCTTTTCTCGTCTCTCTCTTCTATCTCTTCACTCGCGTCGAGCAATGCGAGGCGCGGCGAGCTGGCGAGGCGACGGTGGTCGTGACTCCGGCGGTGAAGGGCGGTGGCCGGCCCGGAGCTCGGTGGGGCGAGGCAGGAGAGGCGGTGTAAGCTCAGGACGTGGTTCTCCGGACCAATCCACACGGAGTCGGCGCCGGGCTGCGGGCGGAGCACGGCGGGCGAGAGCAGCGATGGGCGGGCGGCGGGCGAGCTCCAGGTCGCTCCGTGCGTGCCGCATCACCAGGGGCGCGGCGACTGGTGGGTGTGGGCGGCCGCCCTCCTCTGACTTGGCCCCCTACTCCCCAGACATCTCCACCTCATGCCGGAGGCAGGCAGGCGCGGACTAGGCGGCGATGACGACGACTCGCCCTCCTCATCTCCCCGTCTCCCGCCGGCCTCCTCTCCCACTTCTCCCGCCGGTGCGGTCGGCCGGCTCTCCTCCCACTCTCGCGCTGCATCCAAATCGAATTGAGATTTGAGATAGTGAGAGAGCGCCATTTGAGTTGAGATGGACGCCGTTGGTGGCGGGAAGGTGAAGAAGGCGGCGGGCGGGAGGAAGGCCGGCGGGCCGAGGAAGAAGGCGGTGACACGCTCCGTCAAGGCCGGGCTCCAGTTCCCCGTCGGCCGTATCGGGCGCTACCTCAAGAACCGTCGGCCGGTCGATCTCATCTCCGCCGCTCCTTCCCCGTTAGCCGCCCCGACCCTCTTCCCCACCACGTCGGTGACGCCGTCGACCCTCTTTCCCATCGCGTCGGTGACGCCGCCGCCGCCACCGCATCGGCCCTCCTCTCTGCGTCAGTGATGATGGCCGCAGCCGCGTGTCGCCGTCGCCGACCGCACGAGGGGGACGGGGAGGCCGGCGAGCTCACACCGCCTTGAGCCCACGCGCCGCCACCCTGGAGCCGTCGTCGCCGGCCGCACCACCCTTTGGCCGTACGCGCCGCCATCTGTGCGAGAGCAGAGAGCGAGAGGAAGGAGAGAAATAGAGAAAGAGAGAGGGTGCTGACGTGGTCTCCATAACATGTAGGGCCCACGTGGGTCCCACACTGAGTCAGCCGCCACGTGGGACAAAACCGGGGTCAAAACCGCCGAGGGGCATATTGTGACCGGTTTTGTAAGTTGGGGGATGCCGGATGTCTGGTTTTGCGGTTGAGGGATGATTTTGTATCTGGCTAACAAGTTGAGGGGCCTTACGTGTACTTTTTCCGTCGCATATTGGTTTTCTAAATGGGCCGAATCTTAAAGCTTTTGTAAAATATGGGCTTCGTTATTACTAAGAAACAAGTCCACTATGGATACCTTAAGCACAGCCTGAAATCCAGCTAGCAGAATCAGCCCACCAGATCTAATTAAAATCGGACGGCTACTGCCTATGTCAGCCTGTCACGTCTTTTTTAAAAAAAAAATTTAATGACCCAAAATAATGTGTCAATCAATTGAAAATAATACTTCCATAGATTTAAATCAAAACCGATGGTTAGATTTCTTTTTTTCAAAATTTCTAAGATTTTCTCTAATTTAAGAATATCATATAGCAGCTTAGAAGCATTTATAAGATGTTTCATGGATTTGAACGCCGCACAGGCGTGGCAAGATAAGGAGAGAGGTTTGGGTCTTTCTGTTTAAAAGAAACTAACAATTTAAAACAACGTATCCGTCAATTTAAGTAGAAATCGATAGTCTGATACTTCATTCCTTTTTTAGACTTTATAGTATTTTCTTCAATTTAATAGCCTCACTTAGCAGTTTAAAAGTGTTCATATGATGTTTGAAGTGACAAAATGGAACATATGGAAGAAGGAACGGGAGAGAATTATGTACATTACGTACGTCCTTTGTTTCTAAAGGGGAGGTTCCAGGTGTGGTTTCTATTATAAAATTAGATCTAACGATCAAATAATGGGCACACCAATTTAAATGAAAATCAATGGTTGGATTTCTCTTATTTATTAGAGTGCTACTTGATGACTCGAGAGTATTTGTAGGAAATTTAATGGACTTTTAGTATATAATAGTAGATAAATTTCTCTCTCAAACATCTGATTAGCTAAAAAATTATGTATTTCTATGCATTGGAGTCAGTGTCCTTGAAATATTTATATTGTGATATTATAAATTTTATACCATAAAAATACTTATATATCGAGATAAAGAATATAAGATGTGTGAAATTTCCAATCCCGTACAGTTGTTGGATCAAGAAAGGGGGAAAAGTAATGGTGTCAATACGAAATCTTTACAGCAGTTAGACGACTCTTGTTCTTATCTGTTTTTTGCTGATTTAATTAGTTAGAGTCCAAAATTGTCCTAGATATTGTAATAGTGTCACCGATGCTATAGCAGAATTATTAGGAGTTTTGCTAAAACATGAGAATGCTTGCTCGATGGTTATATCTGGGAATACGACGATTGATCGAGGATGTGGCATGAGGTTTTGCAGTCATCACTCATCACCGTATTATTCTGTTTTACCCGTGGTTTATGTATAGCATCCACACAACTTTTTTGTGTTTTGAATTTTGGTCTTTGTCCAAAATCCAAATTATACATTTGCAATATTCATTCAGAGTACGACAAGATCATCTATATATATACTCCCTCCATTCTTAAATGTTTGACGCCGTTGACTTTTTTAAACATGTTTGACCGTTTATCTTATTCAAAAAAATTTAAGTAATTATTAATTTTTTTCCCTATCATTTGAGTCATTGTTAAATATCATTTATGTATACATATAGTTTTGCATATTTCACAAAAGTTTTTTTTTAATAAGACGAATGATCAAACATATTTAAAAAAGTCAATGGCGTAAAATATTTAGGGACGGAGAGAGTATATAGCTTCATCAATTTGCATAAACATTCAAGCAGATCTTTACATCAACGAGTACATTAGCCATTAACTTGGTAACAACACGACTAGTTGCATTCTCTTGAAAAAGGATGGGAAAAATGAGCTACCAATACTACATATATAGCGATCAGTTTCAAGTTACAAAACGAGACGTGCTACGACTACCAGATACAGCCTACAGCTAGTAACCACTTAACTAGCAAAAAACAACTCTCGCTCATCCACAGTTCATCAACACGTCGTCGTGATCGCGGCATTGGCTGGCGGCGCCGTCGTCGTCGTCCTCGGACGCCACAGCGCGCCGAGGAACGCGTCGCTCCTGCGCAGCTCCCTCCAGCGTCGCTTCACGGCGCACGAGCTGCGGCCGTAGACGGCCCTGCTGACGTCCTTCCATCGGCGGCCGGCGGCGAAGCCAGCGTCGTCGTCGAGGCGCAGGCAGAGGCGGGCGAGCTCGGCGTCGTCGGCGGCGGTGAAGGGGCGGTGGAAGACGTCGCGGGCGAGGTGGTCCCCCCACCTGTCGCGGCACTGCGCGGGCGAGCGGCGGCGCGGCATCTGCGCCGCCACGCGGCGCCAGTGGCGGGAGCCGTGCTCCATGGCGAGGCGCTCCAGGACGGCGTCCTCCTCGGGCGTCCACGCCGGCGGGAGCCTGAAGCGGAGGACGCACCTCCCGAGCGGCGGCGACGACGCAGGTGAGGAAGCGACGGTGGTAGAGGAGGAGGAGGAGGAGAGCTCCATGTCCATGGCGTGTGACGCGTCGACGGTGTGTGTGTGTGGATGAATGAATTGAACCGAGGACACAATGCTCGTTTCACTTATAGCCACGCACCTGCAGAGGCCATGTCCGACTCGGATTGGTAGTTCGACTTCCTTTCCTTTTTTTCAGAAACTTTCGTGTCTCCGCTTCGGATTAAAGCACGTAATACTACTGCGAATCCGATTAGGTTTCAGTAAGCTAGTACGGAGTAATGAGCTTAGATTGCTCATCGTTTTGCTTCATTGATTGATGATTTGGTTTGGTGGCTTAGGTTGATTGGGCCTGCACGTGTAGGCCCACGCTAAATTTCAGCCCACGAGTATACCACTCCTCCTGGGTCACACATTCAAGGAATAAGTTCACATTGACTCCCTTAACTACCGACCGAATCTGATTTGTATCCTTCAATTGCAATACCAGATATGTTGACCTCCAACTATTAAAACCGGTGCAATTTGACTCCCTATAAGGTTTTGGAGGACGGTTTTGCTGACGTGGCATCAACGTGGCAACGTTGACCTAGTATGTGGGGTTGACATGATGCTTAGGAGGCATTAGAATTAAAAACATATATGTAGGCCCCATACGTCATTCACAGAAAGAAATTATGGGGCCCACATGTCATCCCCTCTCTATCTTTTTCCCTCCTTCCTCTCCTCTCCCCCTTCTCTCTATGTTTCTCTTCCTCCACTTCGGCACGAGATCTGGAGCGGCGACGGCGGGGGAAGGGGGGGTGTGGAGCGCCGAAGCTGCTGATGGAGCGGAGGTGGAGCGGGCAGGAAATGGGCCCCCAACTTCTATGGCGTGCTACTCTGGAAACGCTTGATGGTCCTCAAGGTGGCGACCACTGCCAGCATCGGCTGCAAAAGCTCGTTGTACCTCTGGTCGTATGCACACTACTTTAGCGCCCGCCGCCGCCATCGCAACAGCTCCCGCCCTCTAACTATTGTCGCTGCTCCGGCCCTCACCAGCCGCGGCGAGGGAGTCCTGCCACTCGTCGTGGTCATCTCACGCCCCACCGCCGCTGCTCCCGTTGTCGTCCCGCCGCACCACTATGGTGAAGCCGAACGGTAATGAAGGGCCGAAGCCATTTGAATAGGGAAGAGGAGGGCGGTGGCTCGGACAGGCGAGGCACGACGAGTCGACGACTCAGAGACCAAGACCTCAACGACGCGCTGTTGACGGTCGTTAGCGATCAGTTTCGACCGTCAATATTACCAAAATAGAGGAGAACTAGTTATGCTTGCAATGTATATTCATGTTAGAATAATAATATTCCACTAGTATTAGGATTAATAATCTTTTGCAGAGAATAACCATAAAGTGGAGAAGAATCGACATCAAATCAGACGATCGATCAATCGGACGATGTCGAGAATCAGACTTATCAATAAACGGGCCAAAAACTCAGAAATGACACGACTAATTGGGCCAAAGCTCAGAAGTCTGCGGAGAGAAGTCCAGAAAGCCACCAGCTAAATTATGGGCTGGTTGGGCTAGCCCCTGGTTCGACCGAACCAGAATCCACCTCTCCACTATTGGATGTGGGGTTTGGCAGGGACGCTCCAGATCCTCTCCTGATGATGGTTGCGGGGTACTTCAGACATTTCGCGGCAGTTACAACCGTCATACCTGCCTATTTAAGAGCTTCACTTCATTCATTCTCACACACACTCTAAGCAAAACTCTCTCATATTCTCTCAAGTTTAGTTTAGTAGTCTTAAGCTAGTGGAGTAGGAAATAGAATAGAAATCAGAGTCCGGAAGCCTTCGGAAGAGTTCGGATATGGCTCTAGTAGCTCTCCTTTCCTCTTTTGTAAGCTTTGTACTTTACTTAGAATACTCTTCTTTATACATTTTTGGTATTAAAATACCTTCCGAGTATATGAATGCCAACTTTACTTTATGTTCATGTTATACTGATTATACTGCTAGCTTATGTAGGAGATGGATAGGTACGGGTATAATGTTTGCTTATGCAATTACTCTATGTCATGCTAGCTTATGTTTGCTTATGCGTGGTGTCTAGATTACGGGATGTCATTATTTGGGGTTATATGCTGCGGATGAGATGTGGGCCGCTGATGGTGACAGCTCAACGGGTATTCCTCCGTGCGTGTATATAGTCCTAAGTTAATTTCCTGGGGAGGGTACTCCTAGTATTTAGCCCCGGTTGTATGGTCATGACAGGCTGTCGTAAGGAACTCGGCAGTTATGGGTGGCTTCTCGAAGTATCAGGAGGGCATCAGATAGAGGGTATTAGCTAGTTAATCATATAACTAGAATGTATGTATACTATGTATAATAGAAGTATAGGAATATATTCTTTTCTATTTTTTCTACTTAGCTTAGCTTAGATAATTTAGTATGAGAATGAGTAGCTCTATGCTTGTGTGTCACTCTAACATTGGATTATATTAACCCCTGCTTAGACTATGATTATTACAAGTAACATGTAAATTATTAGTACGGTTTTATCTACTATGATCTTTCTACGGGATTAAATAAATACGATACCCTTAGATCAAATACTCTCGGGTAAAATACTACAATAGTATATCTATGCGCTTGCGGAAGGTGGTAGAGGAGGAGGAGGAGAGCTCCATGTCCATGGCGACGATGGCGTGCGACGTCGACGGTGTGTGTGTATGGATGAATGAATTGAACCGAGGACACAATGCTCGTTTCACTTGTAGCCACGCACCTGCAGAGGCCATGTCCGACTCGGATTGGTAGCTCGACCTTTCCTTTTTTCAGAAACTTCCGTGTCTCCGTTTCGGATTAAAGCACGTAATACTACTGCGAATCCGATTAGGTTTCAGTAAGTAAGTACGGAGTAATGAGCTTAGATTGCTCATCGTTTTGCTTCATTGATTGATGGTTTGGTTTGGTGGCTTAGGCTGGTTGGGCCTGCACGTGTAGGCCCACGCTAAATTTCAGCCCACGAGTATACCGCTCCGCCTGGGTCACACATACAAGGAATAAGTTCACATTGACTCCCTTAACTACCAACCGAATCTGATTTGTATCCTTCAACTGCAATATCAGATAAATCGACCGCCAACTATTAAAACCGGTGCAATTTGACTCCTTACGTGGTTTTGGAGGACGGTTCCACTGACGTGGCATCTACGTGGCATCGTTGACCTGGTATGTGGGGTTGACGTGGCGCTTAGGAGGCATGAGAATTAAAAACATTAAACATATATGTGGGCCCCTTACGTCATTCACAAAAAAAAAGAAATTATGGGGCCCATTGACATGTGGGGTCCACATGTCATCCCCTCTCTATCCTTTTTCCTCCAACCTCTCTCCCCCTTCTCTCTATGTTTCTCATCCTCCACTTCGGCACAGGATTTGGAGCGGTGGCGGGGAGCGCCGAAGCTGCAGTTGGGGCGGAAGTGGAGCGGGCGGGAAATGGGCCTCGACTTTTATGGCGCGCTGCTCTGGCACCGCTTGTTGGCCCCGTGGTCCTCAAGGTGGCGACCATCGCCAACGGTGGCGTCGGCTGCGAAAGCTCATCGTACCTCCGGTCGTACGCACACTACTTCAGCGCCCCCCGCTGCCGCCGCAACAGCTCCCGTCCTCTGACTGCTGTCGCTGCTCCGGCCCTCACTAGCCACAGCGAGGGAGTCCCGCCACTCGTCGTGGTCATCTCGTGCCCCATCGCCGCTGCTCTCGTCGTCGTCCCGCCGCACCGCTATGGTGAAGCCGGCCGGGAACGAAGGGCCGAAGCCATTCGAATGGGGAAGAGGAGGGCGGTGGTTCAGACAAGCGAAGCACGACGACTTAGAGACCAAGACCTCAACGGCGCGTGGCCTAGCTCGGAGGCAGCGGGCAAAGCTGGAGTTTAGCGGGGTTACATTGCCAGAGCAGCACGCACGAGCTAGAGTTGGTTAGGGACAAAGGTGGTTGCTAGCCACAGCCGCTGCTTCTGCTCCGGCCCTCGCCCCTCCGCTGGCGCCAGCATCGCCACTACTCTAGTCCTTGCCCCACCGCCGCCACTCCAGATCTCACACCGAAGGGGAGAGGAAGAGAAACAGAGAGAGAGAAGGGGAAGGGGGAGAGAGGGAGGAGGAAAAAGGATAGAAAGGGGATGACATTTGGGCCCCACATGATGAGGACATCACTTCATCGGATATACACATAACTTCACACATTCCAATGATAATTCTCAGTCTAAATCCAGTTCAGCCTCCGAAGACAGCACTGACTTTCAAACGGACCTAGCACCTTCATACCAACTCCGATTTGGGTGATCTTGCACCTGATAGAAAGCTTACCTCGCTACCTTTCAAACACATCTAATATCATATCCAAATTCATTTTGAGTCAACATGAATCATCAAAACAAGGCAGTGTTGTTACTGAAACCGAACTAGGGCCTTGGGTCTTGGGACTTGTAATAGACTAGGCCCATCTCGGAAGTGTCTTCCTCCACCTCCACGAATTAGCACTTAACCCTAGATTTATTTTCCTCTATAAATGTCTATGTACGCCCTCTAGAACAATTGGGTTTTGTTTAGTTGAATTTTGCCAAGTATCATTCACCTTGTCTCTAATCCTCGCTCGATTAGTCGGCAACTATAGATTCAGAGTCCCCAATAGTTGGTGTGTTGATTTACCGGGTCGATTAGATCTACCACTTCAATCGCAACTATTCCTTTGTGTTTAATCACCTATTCACAATATTTAGATTGCATCTTATCTTGTTCTTGCAGTGCTCTCTTGTTTGCATTGCAGGGATCATCAACCGCGTATCACGATTGGTACGAAATCGTTTGTAGTGTAGCGATTGCACGGCGTCCTAGACATAGCCTGGTTGGTAGCCACATCGCAAATGTTGCACTCGATCAAAGTGAGAGTTATCCCCTCACCAGAAGATCATGTCGTGAGAGAGAACGTCATCACCACATGTCGGTGGGCTCTATTTTTTTGTGTGAATGACAAATGAGGCCCAATATGTTTTTAATTCTTGTGCCACCTAAGCGGCATGTCAACACCACATACCAGGTCAACACTGAAACGTAGATGCCATGTCAGCAAAACCGCCCTCTAAAACCACCAAGAAAGTCAAATCGCTCCGGCTTTAATAGTTTGGGAGTTGAAATATCCGGTATTGCGGTTGAATGATACGAATCAGATTCGGTCACTAGTTAAGAGAGTCAAAGTGAATTTATTCCTTCCATAGTATCGCCTCCATCATTGATAGAAACCGGTTTAATTTGCCTCCCGTAGAGGTTTGGAGGCCATTTTCTTTTTCCTATGTGGCGCATGCATGACGTCTGGACATATATTGTACATTATTCTATTTTACACTTACAATCGTGAAAATACTTTGTCTCACCTACCATCTTTTAATCAACTTTAACTACTTCCTTTTTAAAAGTAACATTTGAATTACAAAATCTTTTTACGACTGAATGGCACTTTGGACCATTTTTTTTATCGACGAAGTTTCGTTTTTATCATCTTTTACTCAATATTTGAATTACCCCTAAACTATTTTTAAGCACATTATCGACTTCAAGTAGGATGAATACGGGCGGGTACGATCGGATTTGGCATCCCCATTTCCTAACCTATATTTTTCTGCAAATTCGAAGAGGAAAGTGTCGGATAACATATCGCTCATATTGTATCATGTGCCATATTATTTTCTCCAAATTGGATTCATAAATAAATATTTATATATAATTCATAAATATATACAAGTCTTCTCGTATCCTAAATCAATTTTTTTTGCGGATTTGGATTCGAACTTAGATAGTATGCTGCATTCTATTGTCCTCCCATATTTTTTCCGCGAGCTTTGGGGTGGATGGATGGTCGGAAAATATCCGTCCCATTTTCACTCCTAACCTCGAGTACATCAACTCTAGTATGATCACGAGCCGCCCTACACATAGATTGATCTTATCTTTGCCAAAGTAGAGACCAATAGAGAAGATAATTAGGGTGGTATAAAGTAAAACAAAAATGAACTTACTTCAAAGCGAAAGGAAGTACCTATATAACATTCGTCAGTTTTGTAGGAGAAAAACTTTCAAATATAACTAGTATGTAATTACAGTGTAACTATTATGTAACTAGTATTTAACTAATACGTAAGTTATATGTAAATTGATCTTTTTTTTTCTAAAAACACCCTTCATCGCAAGTGGCTAGCGCAGTGGACTTGCAAGCAACAAGTCAAGGGTTTGATTCCCTACTTGCGCACGTGCAATTCTTTTTTTTTTTATCTCGGTAGCACCAATCTTAAAGAACATCTGATAGTGGAAAATTTGAAAGTTTTGAAGAAATAAATGTGTTGAAAGTTTTTTGGCAAAATCAAAGCGAAAATATCAAGCAAAGAGTGATCTGAAATAAAACTTTGGTAGAAAGAATATATCCCAAACAGTAATTTACTTTTCCTTTATTACTCCGTGACATATACTAAGATCTTCCTCCACAATATCATTTCCTTGTAATATACAATCTGTACATCAAATCCGTTCCCTCCTTTTCTTTCCTTTTCCCCTCAATGTATCTACACCACAACAAGGATCTTATAACCCAGAGTAACGTGGTCACTGATTTGTGGGCCCGTGAGTAATGACACGTCACGCTTCCATCGATCTACACCGGCTATGCCCGCCGCTATGGTACACCGCAAAACTCGCGCGCAAATGCGGAGTTGAGGAGAAAACGTGCAACCCTTCACTGCCTTGCCTCCGTGCCGCCGTCATCGCCGCCGCCGCCGACGACGAGGTAGAGCTTCTGCCCGTCGTGGACCATGTCGACGTCGAGCACTCTGGCGCCGTCCTCGCCGAGCAGCCGGAGCCCCTCGCCGGAGCCGGCGAGGCCGAGCTTCTCCTGCGCCGAGCTGACGAGCCCCTCGATGGTGTGCGGGATCCACACCACCACCCCTTCCCGCCGCCGCTCGCCGCCGTCCCACGGGTGGTGCGGGAACACGGAGCACCGCCGCGGGTGCATCTTGTCCCGCACCTCCTCGCCGCGCTCCGGGTACCTGGAGAGCTCGCCGGACTTGGCCGCCTCCAGCAGCTGCACCATCGTCCGGCTCCCGCACCTGCGCCCTTCGTCCAGCGGCGTCGTGCCCCACCGGTCGGTGGCGAACACGCTGGCGCCGGCGTCGACGAGCAGCTTCGCCATCAGGTAGAGGCCCTCGGCGGCGGCGATGTGGAGCGGCGCGCGGTGGTCGTAGTCCCTCGCGTTCGGGTCGCCGCCGTAGGCGAGCGCCCGCCGGACGAAGTCCGTGTCGCCCCTCGCCACCGCCGTGCACAGGTGGCTCCCGGCGTTCTCCAGGCTCAGCTTCGCCCCCTTGCTGAACAGCAGCGTCGCCACCCGGTCGTGCCCCTGCTTCACCGCCTCCAGCAATGGCGTGTTGCCAAATTTGTCTGATCAAAAGAAGTTCAGAGAACTGAATTAGTTGCTGCTGCTTCCGAAAAAGAACTGAATTGGTTGCAAGATTGCGACGAACTGATCGATCATTACCGGAAAGATCGATGTCGACGCCTTCGTGGAGGAGGAACTGGACGACATCTTCGAACCCTTTGCAAGCCGCAAGATGCTGCGACGAAGACGAAGACACAAAAATCCAAATTAAGTCGAATCATGAGCAAACGCATCGGCAAGATCAAAAGCTTCCATGGATTGCAGATTTTCGTACCAGAGGAGATCGCCCGTCGTAATCGGTGTTCTTGGGATCGGCTCCTGCACGGATCAGGCTCTTGAGCTGATGCATGTCACCGTAGAACGCAGCGTTGTTCACTCGCAGCGTCAGCTCTGCCTCTTGCTTCCCGATGTGGAACGTGATGTCGGATTCCAGCTGCTTGATCCGGCTGCCGTATTCGCTACTCTGCAGTCACAATTCACAGTGCAAACCAGTAAGAAAAAATCTATCAAATCATGCATGAATTGCAGATGTTTTGCAGGATGGATTTCACTTTCAGAATCTGACAACATGAGTGCCATTTTGGCTGTCTCTGCAGTGTACCTCAGAAAGGTTGCTCAGAATTCTTCTTCCATCAACGAAGAAGATCTCCAGGATGTTTGTGAAGGATTGCTTGTCAAGCCGCAAAAGACGACAAAGTTCGCAGACACGAACGGTGAAGGGTTGTGGGATATTGCAGAGAACAGCGATTTCTCCAAAAGAACTTTCAGGCTCTAGCATTAGAATGGTCTCTTCTTGACCATCTTCACCAATGCCAACACCTTCCTACGCACAAGAAAAATATCATTGGTAAGTACTGAATTACTGATAGAATCATATCTAGTTACAAATCTGGAGCCTCTGCATTTTCTTAAGTAGTATTTTGAATAAAAATGCATTCCATATCAAACTCATTGGAATAGTGAAAGAATTAGGCTTTTGTGAGTTCAGGCTTGAACTCACCAGTGCCCCATGACAGACAAAGTACAGTTGATCAACTGCACTTCCCTGCTCCAAAATAACCTCTCCGGGTAGGAAGAACTCTTCCTGCAGCCTGATCACCTGCCACATCAGAACATGTTAGAGAAAATATGGGGAAAAAAATCCAGATTGAAATTTGTATGAAATATCCATGTATTGTAGTCTGACCAAAATAAAGGGGTACTTACAATCTGTTGAATGAATTCTGCTGAACATCCTTTAAACAGTGGAATGCTTTCGATATATGGCTTATACAGTGTTTGTGAAATCTGCAGATTTAATGCCATGTATTGTTAATCACAACAGATAAAAAGAAAGTTGATATACCATGTGTACAGAAGCATCAGTATAGTAAACTTACACGAATACAGTTTTCAAAACTGTATCACACAAGGGTGGGAAATAAAAATTTAATATTTTTTTGAACGAACAACAAAAATTAAATAAAGCATATCCTTACCTTCGCACGAATTGAGACTGGGATATCCTGAAGGACAGAAGCTTCAGTGTAGCTGCTTTCATACTGCAACCTCAAATGTCCTTTAATCTGTTCCCTTATGTCCTTTCCAAGCTTGTTTCTGTTCATGTACCTGATAACTTCTTTCATCTTATCCCTGAATCGCTCGGTTCTCGAGCCCTTGACAATAAGTGCAGTCATGTTACCAATGAGGTAGGCTCCAAGAATCATATCAAAGGAAACATAAATCATGATGAATATCATCTCCCTGACATTCACAGCATGAATGTCACCATAACCTGCAAAAATGAAAAGAACATTTCAGCATCTAAAAAAGTTAAGTTAATTTTACAGACTACAAGGATGACTCTGGACTGAAATGACACCAGAACTTACCAACAGTTGCCATGGTGACTATGGCAAAGTACAGCGATGTCATATAACGCTTGGTAAGATCAATCTCCCTGAAATGAGAATAACTATAGTCTCCCAACTGCAAGCTCCCTATCCATGTATATCCTTCCATTGATTCAGGAAGTGTTGTTGCAAGATAGTAGAAGATACATGCTGCTGTGTGCGTACAGTAGAGTTCCACAACTATGAGTTTCACAATCCTAGTAAACAGGTAATTTATACGGATATCTTTTTCCATGCTCCTGAAGAACTCTGTCACCTTCATAGCTCGTGTCAACCGAATCCACAATAGGTATCTTACTTCTTCTTTACTTCCACAAGCCTGATTCAAAATCAACGCATAAAAAACGAAGAAATATAAGCCAAATGTTTACCGCAATATAATGCCATGTTAACCAAAGAAAATTTTGTTAGATAAAGACCAACCTTATAGATAGCATCCCACGGAAAACAACCAAGAAGATCAAAAATGAAGCTTGATTTACAATATCTGAATTCAAACAGCAACAACAGATGTCACAATTGAGTTACTGCAGATCATATTTCAGGTGCAAATGCCTAAACAGAAGTTCCCTCTATTGTAACAGCACATTTTCAGCAACCTAAATAATTGATACTAGTTCTAACATATCATTATCAAGATGCATCCATTTTGATGGTTCTGAATTTCATAGTTCTAGCTGAATTTCAAGCAAGTGATGAGGAAGTTTTATTACCGGAGAGCGATGGAGGTGGGATTGTGAACCATGCGGTAGGTGTCAGGATCACGGTAGGCCACGAAGAACCTGAGAACAATGTCGATGAGGAAGGCGATCTGACCAGCTATGTCTAGGAAGAAGAGGTTCCTGGGGAGCCCCCTGAAGAAGCCAAATTCCAATGGCGTGAAGAAGGAACTGTACACTGCCCACACTAGTATGAACCTCGTCCATAACCGATACCACCTGCAGTGATTCCAAAAAAATATTAAAACCATAAGGTCATCCACAACTTAATATATGCACAAACAGCAATACAATTTGGTTGCCTGGGAAAGGTGTGAACTCTTAACTGCTGGGACTAGCTAGAAATAAGGATGCAAATCTCGTCAGTTACCAGCATAGCAACCAGAACAATATTAATTCTAATTCTAAATATAACGTTCAAATTGTAACTTATTCGAAATGTATATTTTCTTGCAAAGTCATACATAGATACATTAATGTATTTTATGAACTGGCCGATTATCAAACGGACCCGTATTTTTAAAAAAAAAAAAAGAAAAAAAATTCATACCCTTAGACCTTAGCTAGCTGAGAAACTTCATGGTCCTTCAGATGTACTAGAAATATAAATTTTGCTATGTTGAGAGTTACCAAACTATACACTAAAATATGGCATCTTCTTGTAAAACCACTTTAGCTAGAAACACCAAACAACCTTAGATTATTAGGTAAATTTTGGTTGTTAGGCCGAAAAAAGTATTGCTGAACGCTGCAGAGACCAAAGAAGTTGTCCCGGGTGAGTTCATACGCATAACCCATTATGCACACGCAAATGTCTGAGATGATGTGGCCCTGAGTGGGTTCCTAATGTGCACGGTGCACCGATCTGGTAGTACTGGTAAATAAACTAATTAGAGCGTGAAATCTAATAAACTAATTAAGAGGACGCTGAGAATGCTAGCTTGCACAGCCTGACAGCTACCTCATGTCGAACAGGATCCGTCCCTGTCAGCAAGAAAAGGTGGAACACGAAATAAAGCATGTTCTGAAGATTTCATCTTTTCTTTTTCCCCATGGTCCGTCACATGATAAAGATTTCAACTTTTATCATGTGATTATTTATATCCTTCTAGTCAGTTCAAACAAAATATTACTGTTTTACCGGTTCTTGGCAAGTACAAATTGGAACCAAAGTCAACTGATGTGTAGTGACCTAGGGATTAAAAGCATCTTTTATCATGTAATTGCCAAGTGAGATCATTGACAGGCAATTGATATAGTTAAACTACTCTGAAAAGTGTCAAAACAATCAAATACCCAGAATCCCGCAAAACCAATGGCTTCATGATGTAGCAAAATGGCTCTAAATTAAACTGAAAAATTCGGATACTGTCCCCTGACGCAGTTTGATTATGCCCTGTCACTGCTAATCAAAACTACTTGACACTGTCAGCACAGCATCAAATAAATAAATAAGCTGTCAAGAGATCCCTCAACCTACGCATTGACTTAATTATTATTCCTAAGTATGATGATTCCAGCTACATCACCACAGGATTAGCGGCTCGCTGGTAACAGTCCAAAAATACTCTTCATCCTGGCGAATATTTTATCTCGTTCAAACCATCAATCGAAATCAATGAAGAAACAAAATCAAAATTGGAGTTCACATCGATCTGGACAACCTCCCAAGTAGCCGTACATCTGGTTGGCGGTAAGTATAAGCTATAGCTTAGTTGTCATATTGTGATAAGCTCTCAGATTGCTCATTTGTATATTATTATTACCGGTTAACAACTATTACATACAGATGTAGATTGCCCAAAATCCTGTGTCTATGTTATTAGTACCTGCTTTCACGATTCCTATACACACTTCAGTATTTCAGTTATTTAATATAAAGCCATGATATGACGCAAACATGCTTACTTGACAAAATGTGCCTTACAATGTTTGGATGCTGACTAAGGACAAAAGTACCAGAGTATATTTAAGTATCCGTGCATGCATGAGAACGAAAGCAAAAGCTACTAATTCCTCCATTTTATTGAGCTTCCAATGAAAAGCAATCGATTTTCAAAAGCTTTTCAATTACAGAGTTTTCTCTGATCAACTTGCCCTCGAATAAACTGTTGGCCTCTGTCTTCTAGAGCATGTAATGTATTAAAAGGATGCACCCGTGCTTGTGTAAAGTGTTTATGAGTCTTTCACGGAATAAAAAGAAAATATGTACGCTAATTCATCAACTTGTAGCATCTTTACTCCCCACATAATAATGTCCGACGCATGTTTCATTTCATCCACTCTTTTCTCATCAAATAAAGGCAACAGAGAAGGAAAAAAAAGATATTTAGAGAGAGATACGTTCCTCGAAACACTTTTTTACGAAGAAATTGTAAGCATATTAGGGATTGAATACGTGACATTAGGTTGAACCACAGTACTATTAGTTACATCTCTAGGCAACAGAAAAGCCATGGTTATGTTAAAGATGTACTATTGTACTCTACTATCATCTTAATAAAGTTCAGCGATATACCGTCAAACCCGTTGGTACTAAGAGTACTAGTAGTAAGTACTAACCCCTGAAAGTTGAAATATATGTAACACGGCAAGCGAAAAATCCCAGAAGACCAAAAAAAATTTATGCAGCTAATTAAGAAGCTACAGGCTACTACAGCTAGTAAAGCGTGAGCACGCCAACGTTTGTATGGTCGTCAGAGTTTGTCCCGCGAACTGCGCTAAGCTAACATGTGGCTGCCCAATCAAGCAAAGCCTGCACATCTGGCAAACTCATCGACAAAAAAGTGTAGTTTCCAGGCAGAGACTGTACGTGTAGTTAAGCATCGCAGAAATTTTTGCAGAAAATAAAACGGGGAAAAAATTCTGGGACTAATATAATCTTGCCATATAAAACGAGATTTAAATATTTTTAAGGAAGAAATTTGGATGAAGAGAAGTCTCTACAAACATTTTCTTAAAGAAAAAAATTATATACGTACGTGTTGGGTATTGAATAGAGGACTTTAAGTTGAAACTGCACGTCCTTTATCACTTAGTTTATCTCTAATCTTGCCATATAATCAGTATACGTGCGAATATACTACTACTACATCATTTTTTTTTCTTTTAAAAAAATGGAACGTTCCGCGGCCAACGCTGTGAACCAAGCGATTTATTGATGAGAGGCAGAAAGAAAAATATTCGGAAAAGCTTTTAAGGAATAATAATAAATAATAGGGAATTTCTTCTGGTGCTGGTTTTTTTTCGAATTGATTAATGGAGCAGCAAGGAGGCGCGGCGAACCATCCGACCGGAGCGCGCTGGCCGATCAGCGGCGGTGCCGCCCTTCCCTTGCCGTGACGAAGCTTCTAGAATCTAGAGCCCGGCGGCGAGCGGAGGCAATCCATGGCGAGCGAGTGGATGGGATGGATATGGGAGGAAGGGGTGGGGGGAGCGTACTTGTTGTCGGGGTCGATGACGAAGTCCTGGAAGATGCCATCGTCGCCGTCGACGGGGGCGACGCGGCGGCGGCGCGGGCGGAAGCGGCCGAGGCGGAGGTCGGAGCCGAACAGCGCCAGGCGGCTCCCCCGCGACGACCCGATCCGGTCGCGCACCACGTCCACCTCGTACTCCTCTTCCCCATCGTCATCCTCCTCCTCCTCCTCCTCCTCCTTCTTCTTCCTCCCCGGCATATTCTCCCCGTCGTCGTCCTCCACCCTCCGCTTCGACCCTATCCCCCTCCCCATCCCCGCGCGCGGCTAGAGGCGGCGCCGCCGGCGGCGGATAAGCACACTAGCTCGATCGGGGGGAGTGTCGCGGCGCGCGGCGGCGATCGCCGCACGTGGTGGCGGTGGCGGTCGGGGAGGTGGTGGTGGTGGTGGGGTTCGAGCTCGAAGCGGGGGGAGACGAAGGGTTATTTATAGGGGGTGGAGAGCGAGAGCGAGAGCGGAGAGCAGGGAGGTGAAAAGCGGTGGTGGATTGGGTGGGTGGGTTGCCGATTGCGAGAGGTCGATTTCACTTTCACCGTTTTACTTTTACCGCGGCTCGCCGCTCGCCTAGCCTTCCTTTTCCGGGACGCCGGGAGGAGAGACGAAGAGGGTCCTCAGTGCAGGTTACGAAAGGTAAAAAAAAAAAAAAGTAAAACAGTGGCAAATTTGAGTTTTCAAACATCTTTCCTTTTCCTTTTTATTTTTTGGTTTTTAATTGAAACATCGTATTTTTAATGCTACGTGACAGTACTCCGTTCGAACGGGATAATACCTCAGAAGTCCTATCTGATACCTAGGAATCAGCTGATACCACTAGATATTAGGTAATACCTAAAAAGTATCATCCCGTCCGAACGGAATATTAACCAATAACTATTAGGCATCATGCCATATCTTATAGGTATCATTCCGTCCGAACGGAATACTGTGCTTGAGACATTTTCCTTTTTTACTTTCAGACACAGCTAGTCTCGGCAACATTATTTCGCATTGTCTAACGCTTGAAATGTTAGACGCTAATTCTATGTGTTAAGACATACTCCGCATACCTGATTGATTTTCATGCATACATGTAAAAATTTACGTGGAGCTAGATTTCTAAACAAGAATTATATTTGTTTTGCTATTGTTGATATTTGATAAATTGACAGTCCTTATCAAGTTTAGGCGCAATTTAATTACATTTTCTTTTTCGTCTTGCAAAAGCATAGCACCAGTGCACCACATGCAGAGGTCATACCGAGATAGCTAGGATACTCTGTTCATGGTCTTCAGCTATCATTTTAGCAGCCGTGCCACGTACTCATGCAGCTTTTCATGTTCAGTAGCACCCATATATATATGCACTGCAGAGCTTTGATTGCTCTCTAACAAGGCAACAATGACCATGTATCCACGTGGTTCTCCAATATACTCCCTCCGTACTCGTAAAGAAAGTCGTTTAGGACAATGTTTAAGTCAAACCTTGAGAATATAAATCATGAATAACTCTCATGCTGTTAAGTTTGAAATTGTAAAAGTTATATGAATAGATTTGTCTTGAAAAATACTTTCATAAAAGTATACATATATCAGTCTCAGTGGTTTTAGATTTCATCCACTCTGAGGGCCATCTGTGGTCTTTAGCTAGCGTTGCTGTTTTTGGGGACTTGTTGGGAGGGTAGCGTGGCTCGGCCCCTTCCCACTGCTTGGAGTTTGTTTTTAAGCTGTCGTAGTTTTCTAAGCTTCAGCTTTTTATTTTGCTTTTTCTTTCTTCCCCTAGTATAAACCGGTCTGGCTGATTACGGTGTGTAACTATAACTCTTTTCTTTTAATATATTGATGAGCAATCTTTTTGCGTGTTCGCGAAAAAAAGACACGTCGAAACCGAAAAGCTGGGCACAGTTGTCTCCGGTGCAACAAGAGCACACCGAAAGTTTGTGAGTTGTAACATTCCCTTTTTATAAATTTGGACAAAACCAGTAATTACTGTACATTGTAAGAGATAAGCAATCGTTTTGTCGTAAGATACATGAGTGGCATATTATAAAGTTGTCGCAGTACTAAAGAAGTGGCATATGATCAAATATTCATTTTTTATTAAAGTTATTGTTTGCTACATTTTTGTTGTAGGAGATTTCACGTTGTCAGAGTGCGACAACTCTATTACTTATTCTCCTGCTCTAACATGTACAGGAGACCCAATTCAATTTGGCATTGTCTGTCACTGTTTGTGCGTATGTGACTAATTAATGTTGTAGTACTCCTATGTGATGCTTAAGACTGATCAACACAGTGTGTATTTTAAGTTTGTATCGAAGCACCTGCGATGTAATGGAGTTGTACGTAGATGCATAACGGTTTAAATCTCCTTGTACTAGCTAGAGATGTGTTGTTGGTATCCATCTTTTTTAGCGTGTGATATTTAGAAGCATACTCGTGAGTGTGAGTGTGCGTGCGTGTCTCCCATGTAATAAAAAACATGTGGTTGATCATTATCTTTTCCAATTACATATTTCAAAACAAACATGAAATATATTCATGCATGAAAGTGTTTTCACGTCAAATCTGGTAATATTGTTTTCACATAATTTTGTGTATGATTTAAATATTCTAGATTTTACGGCACCCATTTAGAAAATTCATCTACATGGACGAAAGGAGCGTGTTGTAGCAAATTGAGTTTTCATTGGTAGCATGAAATTTGCCCCATCATAGCATGACAAGTGTGGATAGGCCGGTCATGTACTCATGTCAACAATAGTCATGACTCAGCAGAATTATCTTCTTTTTTATACTCCCTATGCTCCACTGTCCCAAAATAAATAAATTAATTTCTAGCATCATAAGAAAAAAATTAGTGGTGAGGAAAAAAAAGATTAAATGTCTCTAATTATTAGGAAAAATTGCACTACCAGTGAGATGACAGTACGGGTATTGAAGGGGTGGAACTACTCGACTTGTGGGTTGATGAGTAGGTAAAAGGCTAAAAATAAAGTTATTTTGTGATAAGTTTTATACTCCACAAATTAACATAATTATTTTGGAACGTTGAGAGTATAATAGGATGGTGTTATTGTAATTTTTTACAATATCTCACTAAATTGACAACACAAACTTGAGCATTAATCTAACAAAACAATTACTCTCTTTGTTTCATATTATAAATCGTTTGATTTTTTTTTTCTAGTCAAACTTCTTTGAGTTTAACCAAGTTTATAAAAAAATAAATACAATAGTATTTTAAACACAAAACAAACATATTATCAAAATATATTCAATGTTAGATTTAATAAAACTAATTTAATATTTTAGATGCTGTTAAGTTTATTTTATAAATTTGATCAAACTTAATAAAGTTTAACTAGAAAAATATCAAACGACTTATAATATGAAATGTAGGGAGTATATTTTTCTAAAACGGTATTTTCAATAACATTTGTACAGTTAGATCCTTGTTCTGTTTTTCACCTTTTGACCTGTATGCATTTGCATCCCAGGGGTCATGTGACTGCGATCTCTCCCTTTTGATCTTGCCGGTGCTGGGAGAGGTCTTAGCTGTGTTTGAGGGGGAGGGGATTAAGAAGATTGGGAAGATACGCAAAACGAGGTGAGCCATTAGCGTATGATTAATTAAGTATTAACTATTTTAAGTTTTAAAAATGGACTAATATGATTTTTTTAAAACAACTTTCATATATAAATTTTTTATAAAAAATATACCAGTTAGTAGTTTGGAAAGCGTGCGCGGGGAAAATAAGTGACAATCTCCCCAATCTCCTTTGAAAGAACGCAGCCTTACTTGTCAAGTGTCACCTACGTTTATTCATCGATCTGCTCCTGTTCGATGTGTCAGGGATCGAAGCATGATCCACGTCACAGTTGCAGCGCAATGTCTCTCTGAAAAAAAGTTATACATAATTTTCTTTAATTTCTTTCTCAGCCTCCGTATATGATCTGCCACGAGAGGCCACGAGGTGTGTGTCCCATATATGTCGTCAGTTCGTCACGATGTTTCATGTCCGGATCTGTAAGATGCAGTGTAGTAGTTCGTGACTCGGTGCTAAATTTTAAAAGTACAACTCCCCGTTTCATGTTATAAAACGCTTTGACTTTCTTTTTTAAAAAATAAACTTTTTATGTTTAACTAGATATATAGAAAAATATAGCAATATTTTTAACACAAAACATGCTAAGTATCAAAATATATTTAATGTTAATGCAATGGAATTAATTTGACGTAGTCGGAGTTACTACATTTTTATATGAACTTGAGTAAACTTGTAACTTGTAGTAGTTTAATTTAGAAAATAAAATATCATATCGTCTTATAACATGAAACATAACATGAAACAGATGAATAATATAAAAATGGGAAGCTCGCATGCGTGTCTACAGGACTGATCGAAATCGATCTTGATTCCATCCCGCAACCACTTATATATTTCAAGTTGAAAAAAAAAATAATGTCTTGTTGTTTTGAACACATATGTTCGGGGGAAACTAAATTTTAAGTATTCATATATACTTCCAAATATCTTGCCTAGATAGATACATATAAAAACAATATGTAAAAAACTTGCATTATGAAAGACCAATTTATCATGCATGCATGCATCCCGTGGTGTAAGAAGCATATCCCATTACCAGGGGTAACCTAGGACAGTTAGTTCCCTAAAAAAAACGTAGGACAGCTAGGACTCGAGCAGTAAGTTTGTGTTCATAATTATGCTTTAAGTCCTATCAAATCATCATAAATAAATTAGAGAAAAATCATTAACCCATTAGCCGAGCCCTACACTTATAATTTCTGCCTCCGCTCTAGTATATTACAGATTTACGCTACACAATGGTGCAAAATTTGACCCCCACCGTAGGTATTGCGGGATGGCTTTAGTTAGGACATGCACATCGTAAGCTGAAGAATTAAAATAATTTACTCTAAAATAAATTTATCCAAACTACATAGACTAAAAATACATTGTTTATGTAAAGTGAGCATAGTTTGACTGGTTAGGTTGTCTATGGTGGAACCAGCTTATTCGGTGCTCGCTTTTACAGATAATTATTTTTTTCAGTGGTAAATAACGTACCTGTGTGTTTCTTAAAAAAAACATTGTTTCCTTTTGTTCACAATCTGACAAAATACCTCTTATCTAAGGCTGTGTTTAGTTGGATCCAAAGTTTAGATTTTGGTTAAAATTGGAGATAATGTGACTGAAAAGTTGTGTGTATATGACAGGTTGATGTGATGAAAAAGGACTAAAGTTTGGATCAAACTTTGGATCCAAACACAGCCTAACACCATGCACGTACCAACTTGAACTGGAACCCATCAACTTGGACAGTGAAAAAAAAAACACTCAACTTGGACCCAGCTTGTATAGTTGTATGTACTTTCTCATGATTCACGCACGCC